CACACACACACATTTCGCCATCAAACGTTGGAGACCTGTGTTCGATTATCATGCTGAGACAATTTATCCAGTGTCACTCTAGGACATTGTATCCCTCTCAGCCTGGGTGGCCCTGACAGGCAGATTTTAAACCCACCTCCTAAAACGATCTAAATTATATCGATGGCAGTGTCTAACATCTACGTTTTAAAAGAAACCTTTCTTTCTCTAATCAACCCACTCCTCTCAAAGTCCATGTTGCTGTTTGTATATTTTATTTCTTCCTTTATCTATCATGTCTATTGTAGATGGATTAATAGAATGCTACACCCCGAAAATTCATTAATCCGAAAAGGAGTGCGCAGAGATTAACAGTATCTTTTGTTTGCCTCATTATTTTGAACTGTTGTTTCTAACCCTGATTTTTAAGCAAAATGCAAGGACTTTCTATTACAAAGAGAAATTGAACTAGACCTACCTCTCTAAGTCGCTTCAGCTCCCCTGCCAACTTCACCATCTCTGCAAGGTTAGCGCTATAACGCTCCTCGAGTTCAGTTAGTCTTTTGAGAACTTGCGTCTTTTCATCAGCGCGCAACTCCTCCTCTTGGATGTGGCGAGCCCCTGAGTCCTGTTAATGAAAGAAAAGTCCAAGTTGTCAGTTTGCTTTAGAAGTCTTTTTCACAAACATGTACGACCAGTGGTGGAAATCCATTCTGCTGCAAACAGAAATAAGGACAGTCGACCGGAAAGCCAATAGCCTGCGAAAGGAGCCCCTCCCCCTTCCTGCCATATACAGTCATGCTGTAACAACAACTTTTGATGAACAAACATTCATTGCTCCAGTATAGTTAACCTCCAAGAGGTGGCCGCCTTTATCACGCGACAACAATCACTTTCGGTCAATCCTGCACTATGATCACTTTTATAGTGAGGTCAAAAATTCGTGGTGCAACGTATAGCTAGATATTTCCTAAACTATAGCACTTAAAAACGCTCTAGCTTTTGCACATTGATGTGTGTGAATTTGTCTTAACAGATCAATACTTTTATAAACACCAGCAAGCTGTATTCTAGAAAATTTCTTAATAAATATTATCAATTTAAAAAATCAAAGCGTGTGGTTTATACAGATTTTTAAACGGTTTACAGCTTGGGCAATGTCGCTTTTAAAGGCAAGTCCATCAGGGGTTGTTTTTTTCCTAATCGTGACACTATTTTTTTTATTGAACGCATGATTATGATGTGAGAACCTGTAGTGCTAAAATATGTGTTTACTAGATATACCAAATTAATTTCTTGTAACAAGTTTCACTACTAAAAGTGTCATTTGTGGGCGGTGACGTAGGCCAAGTATGCGTATGCAAAATGTGTGTGAGAAGCGGGAGGTTCTCACCACGTAGGTTAGAAGAAGCACTACACGTATACAAAGGGATGAACACACAACGTTATTTAGTAATAGCTGTTCCCGTGGGGAAATTGCAGTCTACGTTACGTGTTCCTGTCTCTTGTGATTCAGAATCTATCTGAGTTTTCTTGGTTTCAGACATTCCACTGTTTTGGGTTTAATTTTTATAAGTAAAATTTGTGTTGGAACCTCGAAGACCCCCCTCCTCAGGTATGCAGTAAGACTATCCATAAAGGTCTTACACACTAAAAAAAAAAAGATAATAAATTAAATGTGAAATGTAGTAGATAGATAAATAATACACTACATACGAAGGTACACTAGTCAATAATTTTTTGGCAAACTTTGTGTACATTTAACGATTGGTGACACTATTACAAGCTTGATAATGTATGTTGCAAATAATATGTAAGTGGAAGCTCAGTCAAAGAAGCCTAAAGACTAGATATAGTATCTATGAACGAAACGTATCTGAAAGAGAACAAGGAGAGAGAGGAGTTGTGAACCAATCAATTTGTATTTAAAATTATGTTTATTGCAGTTAATGTGCAATGAGCGTTCTGAAACCGTGTGTGAATCCATTATACATAAAAGAAACACCTGTCTCTTCAAACTGGACACAATTCTACAAGTGCAATAACAAATAGAGTTACAGAATTTTACGCAGTGTTTAGATCCTGTTTAGCATGTCAAGCCTTTCTTGTCGATATAATCGTGAATGTGCTGAACAGAAATGAACGAATTATATAACCAAGTAATGAGTGTTTGAAGTCACTATTCGTTAAAGGCATTTTTTTTTACTCAAGCTAGTCGGGTTGTGTCAGAAAACAAAGTGTGAGTTTGCCATTCTGAATAAACGCGAGGTTACAGACTCAAACAATATTATTAATGTGCACAATTGAGCAGAAACCAATCGAACACACTATACACATTACAGATGCAATGTCAATTGCGCGGGTAATAAATTGCGTTCTTCAACATTTTAAAAGCGTTTTTTTGTGTGCTTAGACCATGTGAATTTAAAGGAGGGAAATGGTAGAAGGAAAGTCTGTGATTTGACTGGATAAATCTGCTGAGTGGGCAGGACAAAAATATCAATAGATATTGTGTGTGAATCTATACTGCATGAAACGGTTTTCATGGATATTGGCGTTCCCTTTGTGTTTTGAAACCACGTGGTTGTCCACGAGCGGAGCACAAAGGACTGACCAGTATAGTACAGCCGTGTTCAGCATGGTTGTCTTTTGAAAAGTTATGCTGGCCCTAAGGCCACGGGCACACTTGACAAACTTCCATTGTCACACGGCTACGAGGTATGACGTCACTAGTGGGTGACGAGAAAGGAACGAGTAAAAATTGCATGTTTGGCAAATTCATTTGAAACAGAGACGTGTTTTAGATGCTGGGTTTTAAATCAGGGGTATAAGAAAAGCTTTTTAAAAATGAAGCAGACCAAAGTTCGCATTAATTGAACATGTTGCGTTTCCTTTAACCGGACCTAGTGTACTATAATTACTCCCAACTACTTAACCCTTTTTAAGCCATACCGGCCTAAACCAGCCTTCCCGCCATGTTGCCCTACTGGCTTTTACCGGCCTGGTAGACTGACTTTATGCAGGCTTAGGAATACAAACATTTCCCCCTAAATTTAGATGCTGACGTCCTTAGTTTTTCGATGTGAAATATCATTTAAATACGTCGCTTACATCAAAAGTAAAAGTAGTTTTTTTGCTCCACCCATAAACCCCTGAAAAACACTGGGGAAAAAATCGGTCCTCTGAAGCCATCAGCAGGCCGTTTGGTTTAGCTGTGCGAACATGTTGACCTATTTTTGGTGCTAAGAGGGGTGAAAGGAGGATGGTAATATAGTAGTGGTATAACAGGAATCCATACCATACATGTATAGGCCCCCTTACCCCACCCCTCACCCACATATTATTATGCAGATGATAAAGATGATACTTGTGGAGTGATGGTGATGAAACCAAAAACCAACTGAATGCACAAAATAAGCTAAAAATGAAATCTCCGTTGCTCTAATAACAAATGGCGTTCATTAAAACAACGTTCCATAGTGCATGGAGCAGGTGACATTAAAGGAGGGAAATAGTAGAAGGAAAGCCTGTGTTTTGATTGGATAAATCTGCTGAGTGGGCAGGACGAACATATCAACTGAATGAATGAATGAATGAAGAAGGAAAGCCTGTGTTTTGATTGGATAAATCTGCTGAGTGGGCAGGACGAACATA